CCCCACCTCGTCCTTGCGCTTTACCTTTATCAATGTCGACTGACCCGTTCTAGGAGATCTTTGAGAATCCCCAATTTTATGTCAGCGGTGCTACGGCCAATGATGTACGACAAGGACGAGACGGAGACTGCTGGCTTATGGCCGCTCTCTGTACCCTTGGGAACAAGGAAGGCCTCATTGACAGGGTCTGCGTTGCGCGGGATGAGAAGATTGGTGTTTACGGTTTCGTTTTTCATAGAGGTGAGATTATACAAATCTGCTTCATGGTAGATAAACGTTATGTTAACGAAGTGATATAGATGGCGAGTGGCAACAGTGCATTGTAGATGATAAACTATATCTTCGAGCCGCGGACTACGACGAATCGGTGGAGGAACGTCAGGTTTGGGACGACATCAACCGCAAAGACACCGAAGAAGAATATCGAAAGACATGGCAGACCGGGTCGCGAGCTCTGTATTTTGCTCAATGCTCTAATGAGAATGAAACATGGCTCCCGCTTTTGGAAAAGGCATATGCCAAAGCCCATGGGGATTACTCGTCCATTGATGGAGGTTTTGTTGGGTAAGTCTTCGCCTATCTGACTACAGTTCAATGCGATAAGATCTAATGAAATTATAGGGAGGCACTAGAGGATCTCACAGGTGGAGTCACGATGGAGCTCTGGTCGACAAATATCTTGGATAAAGAAAGGTTCTGGAAAGAAGAGCTTCTTCATGTTAATAAAGAGTTTCTGTTTGGTTGCGGGACTGGTATATTTTCAAACTGGCTTGATCCTCGATACAATGGGCCTCCGAGGGAGAGGAAGGGCATTGCAGAGCACCATGCTTATTCGATTATGGACGCGAAGGAGATAAACGGTCAGAGGTTACTCAAACTCAGGTTGGTTTTACAGTCTCATGAAATGGTTAAACGTACGAAAGCTAATGGCCCTCTCAGAAATCCATGGGGAAAGAAGGAGTGGAGTGGTGCCTGGAGTGACGGGTCAGAGCAGTGGACTCCAGAGTGGATGGAACTTCTGGGGCATAGATTCGGCAATGATGGGGTACGCTACTCATTCTAAACTGATCTACGTATGGTGAGCTAATTTCTGATGCAGATGTTCTGGATCTCGTACGAAGACCTCCTTCGAAAGTACCAACATTTCGACCGGACCCGTCTTTTCGGCCCGGAATGGAAGGTGACCCAGCAATGGACCAGCGTCCATGTCCCTTGGGCCGCAGATTACCATAGCACCAAGTTTACTGTCAATGTGACCCAGCGAAGTCCCGTGGTTATCGTCTTGACGCAGGTAAGCCAGATCAATACTCCCAAACTGACGTTCGTAACCAAGCGTTAACCAATGATTAGCTTGACCATCGATACTTCCAAGGCTTGACTGGAGAATATAGGTTCTCTCTGCAGTTCCGGCTTCAGCGCGAGGGAGAGGATGATTATATTGTCCGCAGCGCCGTTTCCTATGCGATGACCCGATCGATTAGCACCGATATTACCTTGGACCCAGGAACGTATTCTGTCCTCATGAAAATCACGGCCATAAAGAACCCCCGAGAATACTCCCCCGAGGAAGTTGTTAGCCAGATGGCCAAGATATCCCGCAACAAGCTTCTGCAGATTGGACTCTCGTACGATCTGGCGCACGCAAAGGCCAACGCTCAGGACGAACAAAGGAAGAAGGAAATGGCTGAAAGCCAAGAGCGTGAGAAAGCTCTGAGGAAACAAAAGCGGAGGGATCAAGCTGAGGCGAGGGCGAGGAAGGAGTGGTCCAAGCAGAAGAAAATCGCTGCGAGAAGAAAGAGAGAAGAGGCCAAAGCCATGAAAGCCCAAGAGAGGAGGGATGCAAAGCGCCAAAATGGACGGGTAAACGGGTTTAGTGGTGGAAACGGCGAACACGTTCCTGATGGTGGCCCTGTTAATGGGGTCAATCAGCACTGGACGCAATTCGATGCGGATAGCGGTCTTGGATTCTCTTCTCCCGAGCTTGAGCAGAGCCACGAGAACGGTGCCAAGGTTACATATAAAGAAACTAAGGTGGTAAAGCGGGAAGTCCACAATGGGGATCGTGTTCCGTTGATCTATGTCGAAGGGGAGGCAACTCCTGCACCAACGAACGGGATGGGAATCTCCTGGAACGGGTCGAGCCCTTGTCTGACCAAGACAGGGCAATCCTACCCCGAAGATGATAGTGATAGCGACTCCTTCCGCGACTTCGAATTCGATTCTGAAATCGACATGCCCTCCGACGATGATGAGGAGGATGAAGGTTTCCGCAAGAGTAACTGCCCACCAGAGCGGCGGAGTACCTCCGATGGGATCTATGAGGATCTAGACGAAGATCCTTGGAATGCGGTTTGCGTCGTTGGGTTGAGGGTGTACTCCCATGACCCCGAGCTGAGTGTGGGGGTTGTTCGGCCCAAGGATTTTGACATGACCGAAATGGAAGCCGCGTTGGACCGAGATGATCCAGCGTCTGCCGCAACTCAAGGTCACGCGAGGAAAAATAGTACGTGGTGATAGAGGTGGTTGTGTCCGGGCAAGTTTACTACTCAAAAGTTGTCGGTTTCTTAGCATGATGGTGGCTGGTCTATCATCATTAGGCGTTTGGGATCCTTTATTATTAGCCATGTTTAGCATGTATTTCTTGAGCGCAGCGTTTACTGAGCGACTCACATAGGGGGTGGTTTATGTTTTGTACGGGGTGATTGAGCGGGTTGGGAATTTCACTTATATATATTCTGAGCTTGTTCAATTTATGAGGCTGGTCTCGTTAACGATTCAATTTAGTATTGAACTTTGGGATATATTGCGATCATAAGTGTCAAAGTCTCTCATGAGCTTGGTCAGGACGATTCATATGAAGTTGGTAGAAGAAGTGTAGATGGAAGGAGTAATATAGGGCTTCGGAGCTCAATTTGGTTTAGACTAAAATCCCCGTCAGTTCCAAGAGATTCAAGCTCGACAGAGCATCGATACCAAAACACTGCATCTGAAGCGCCCCAAGCTATTCAAAGGCAAGACCAACCAATATGGAGCAATGCTCCTTACGATCGGGCCACCTATTCTTCGATGTTTAAGACGTCCCTCTCGCGCCTTTACGCCGACGCGTCGGTTCTACCATAATGGGCACTCACAGCTTCGCTTCCACAATGAGACGGTTAAAGTAGGAGTTGGGAATAATGGGTATATCACGTTGGAGTATGCTATTCATCCAGCTGAACAGTACTAAAGCGAGGAAGCTAATTGACGCGTTTTGATGGCAGTATACTCCATCCGATTTTGAAGGGCTCAGCGACCTCCCCGCTCGATGCGATCCTCTACTTGCCCCCCGGGCCGCTATTCTTACCCCCGAAGAGCAAGATAGCTTGGGAACAGCCTTATAATGGATCCGATGACATCCACGTCGATCACCCGCTTCCATCTCCCCAGCACATACTCGCGTCCCGAACCCTCTCTACGATCGTTACATTGAACTACCGACTCGGTTCCTCCAGCGACGCGTGTTCCGGGGAGGAGGGTGAGGACTCTACAGCGACGCGGCAGTTTACATTTCCGACACCTATCCACGACACATTGACGGGCTTTGATTGGATATATCGTCATGTTAAACCGAGGAGATTATGTGTTTATGGGACAAACGTCGGCGGGTCCTTGGCGTTGATGCTGGGGCTTACGGAACCGCAATCTGTCCATGCGATTGTTGCTGAAGAGCCGGTGTGCGATTGGGCTGGGCTGGATGGGTATTGCTTACCTGCCCCTGAGGCAAGTGGTAATGACGGCGGAGCCGCAATCGTCGATGAGATTTCAGACAATCAACAAGAGACGAAAAAAAGAGCTGGAAAGAGGAAGGCAAAGAAGGGACCGGCAACTGCACACCCCGATTTGGTACCGCTTCTAGAGGCCCGAAGACAATTCTTCCGCAAACCTGAGAACTATTTCGATTCCTTCGCGTCTCCCGCACTGTTTATTCGGTCTGCCGGGAAAGATTGCCCAGCCGAATTCCCTACATATCTCACTGGGCCTGACTATCCCGTCCCCGTTCAAGAAAAGATCCCTACAGAAGAACTGGAGATGGAAGAAGAGTTTGGGGTCCCCTCTAAACCTGTCCGCCGTCGCAAGGCTCTCTCTCGCTGGCCGCCATACGGCCTAGATTACCGAATGGGTGGTGAGCGACAGATCCTCAGTGGTTCGGGAGCTAGCCGAACAGTGGAAATAACCCTACCGTGGGTAAGACTATTTGTTCACAGTAACAAAGAGGATCCAGAGCAAAAGGTTGATGAGTCTTCGACAAGTGAGGAGTCGGGCATCATCAGTGGGATTGAGAATCTCAACCTGGATGGCTCTTCGTCGGAGGACGCTCGATCGTCCCCAACACCTGAACCCAAGAATGGACGTTCTAAAACCCGGAAGCGGCCTACAGAAGCGGGGTTGGGGGAGGAGTCTGTTCTGGCGGGTCAGGGCGTGGAAATGGCCTCGCTTCTTCGCGCAGCTTGCTTCTTTGGACGCGAGAAGGGCTTTGGCGAGGAAAGGGTGAAAGTTGTCAGGGTACCGATTCCGAATAACCGTAGCATAGAGTTGGAACGTCAGAACGGGGACGGCTCTTTGGAGACGGCCCCAGGCACAGGTGCCAGGGGAGATTCGGTCGTCGAACAAGCTGGGGAATGGTTCTATGAGATTTTGGAAAGAGGATCATAAACAGTGTTGGGCTGGAATATAGGGACTGTGCATGTACTACTGAGGCGTATTGCTCTACGTATCTACCATCACTATAAAGTAGTAGATATTTATATCGATACTCTTAACAAAATAAGAGCGAATCATCTCCTCTCATAAGGACTTCAAAGGCCTCCGTCACCCCTAGTATTTTTATTACTGCCTCCTTACCTTTAGTCGAGTCCGAGAATTATATGACTAATCCCATATCATCCATCCCCACACAAAAGTGGAAAACCCTATCTTCAGAAACAAATCCCATCAAGTCAAAAAGCTTTCAACAAATAACAGCTGGCATGGCCAAGTTGGTAAGGCGCATCACTAGTACAACCGCAATGATGAGATCCTCGGTTCGAATCCGAGTGCTAGCACTATCTTTTTAATTTTTAATTAAATTAATCCTTCTTTTTTGGAGGGGATTGCGTCGGAAATTGGTTCGGAGGGGTGCGTGTTGTGGTGGGACGGTTGAAATTTTTGCGCGGTTGTGGGTTTTGTGTGTGGCGGTGCGGTTCGGCTGTTGAGCATAAATTTGGCTGTCTTTTTTTTTCGAGCTGCAAAGAATTAGAGTAAAGGAAAATAATTGAAGCGTTCATAACACGAGAGCATATCAAAAAGAATACATTGATATGTTCTCACTGGCTCTCTTCATCCTGTAGACTAGGTCAGTCATTACTTTGGAGTATGTTTTGAGCATTCAGGGGTTGCTTTACCCTCCCCACCAAGCAAAAAAAAATTAAGCTTGACCAGGCTGAGGCTCGAACTCAGGACCTTCTCGGTATTCAATTCAATTGGATTGTTAACGAGATGTGAATAACCAACTACACCACCCGGCCTTACTTTATTGGTCAGACTTCGGCCCGAAGTAGAGATAACGGTGGGGTGAACCGGTATCAGTCACAGGGGAGGGACAGTGTGAATGCTCTCGAATAATCATTGCATTGCTAGTAGTGGTATCGCTAAAAGGAAGTGCAGAAGAAGAATGTCAAAGGCTCAGTTCTATAGAAAATATATTTAATGAGAAATGCCAAAGGTGTGGTGTAAAATTTCACCATGTCGTTGGTATCTTTTGTGGAAATGCAAGGGTATCAACGCTTGAGAAAAAAGGACAAAGGGGGATGTCTATCTATCGGGCTATCGTGAAGGGAAACGGGTGCGGAAACTAGAAGCTAGAACATCGAGCTCTTCTTCTTGGCTAGTTTCCCGCCATCGTCTTTAGGCTTGCTAAAGCTGAAGAAACTCTTCTTCTCTTTTATCTGTGGCCGAGAGCCGGGGTTTAACAAAGCCATGGATGAAGAAGGCCGGGGCTGGGCAGCTTGCGGTGAGGTTGCTTGTGGATGGCCTGGGGCGTGGAGGTAAGGGCCTTGCCATTGCCGCTGTGGGTAGGCAGTAGACGATGACCGCTGGTGCGGGTGGGGGTGGGGTTGAGGAGGGGGTGCCTGGTATGATTGCCTCGAAGGGCGAGGGGCATCGTTCCGACGTGGAGGTAGATTGGGTCTTGCTGCCTCCTGCTTATGGTACTGTGCCTGCTCTTGCCCGTAGAGTTTCTTTAATCGTTCAGTCTCCTTGTCAATTTCAGCTTGCTTTTTCCGAGCGGCTTTCTGTTCAGCCTCAAGGAGCTTCTTTGTCCGCTTCTCTGCCTCTTGTTCACGCTTCTTGCGCTCTCGCTCTTCTGCTTGAGTTTTCTGCTTTAATCGTGCAGATTCGGCATCGATCTCCCACTGGCTTCTGGGGTCGGTTGGAGGTGGCGCTGATTGCGTGGGACGCTGTTGAGGTGGAACAGCCATTTGTGGCTTCTGGTTTTTATGGTTGGGCGGTTGGTTGTTAGGTTTAGCATTGATGGGGCTGTTCGCCTTCTGTGGCACCTTGCCAGAATGAGCGGGGGGAACTGCAGCGAGGGCTGGAGGGTTGTTTTGGCGTGGGGTAGGCATGGAGTTGGAGCGAGGGTGGGCATCCGATACGTTGAAAGCTTCCTTTATCTGGTTGAAAAAGACATCTCGTATGACCACCGCACCCAGCATGAGAACGACTTCCAACCCTTTGAAATCTTCCATCTCCACTCTGCAAAGATTCGGTTCGTATAAAGTTATTTCCTTCAGGGCCTGTAGGATAGCAATAGTGATATCAGGCTCCTTGTTCTTCTTTTTGCTACCGTCAGGGTTGGCTGTCTTTCCTGAGAGAAAACAGGCTAGATCCTTTGACAATTTCCCGTCTTTATGCCAGTTGAATTTCAACTTCGGTGTTGCATCGGAAGCTGCTGGATCGTTAAGCGTTCGATCGATCGTCGAATTAGACGGCTGGCGGAACGTTTGCTGCGGCATCTCAAAGTCCCATGACGCTGGTGAGTTCCACGTTTTGGCTTTATACCGGACGAGGACTTGCTGGTCGGGGTTATATAGTTGGATAGCGAATTCGGTGGGGAGTAAAGGTTCGGGAGGCGGGGCAACACCGCCGTTTAGACGTATCGCCTCCTGGGAAAGAGTAGGTTGTGTCCATTGTGGGTTTAGTAAAACCTCGCCGTAAAGAATTTCCGGGTTATAGGAGTCATATAAGGCTACGGCATAACGGTTCTTCGATCCGGGAAGGACTGGGTCTGGGTATCGAAGGGAATAGACTGGTTCTGGATCTGAGCCATGCTGGCGCATCTGTATGCTCGAGCTTTGCCGAGTCGCGTTGAGGAAGAACGCTGTGGCACCGTTAGCAAGCTAATCGGGACAGACCCTGGGTCCTGCAGAAGGCTGCTACTTACTGGGGAGATTCTCGTCCAACATCTTTCATGCTGTGGCTCTTGTGAAGCCTGTGTGTTGTGTTGTTTCGCGTGTGGTCGTGTCTAACGATTCGGTCCGGAAAGAAGTCCCCGGATCTCGGTCGGTAGATAAAGGATCAAGAATCGACCCCCTGATATCATGAAGAAGGCTGTGAAGTCTGTCAACGGCGACTGGTCGTCGTCACTCGCATTGATCGATTCGTCATGGTCTCCAGCATGACTTATGTCATCCCTCCAGTTATCAAGACCAAACAAACGCCACGCGACAGGGATCTCTGACCAATGAATTGGGTTCAACGTGACCCATGGACCCATCCAGGACCGAGAACTTTGCATCTGAAATAGGACTAGCGTACGATTCTTCGTTTATCAGATCTGCCCTGTGCTAAAAATAACTCGAGGCTGTTTTTCATGTTGAAGCTTAAATTTATCTTCAAAAAGAAACTCCCGCTCGCATGAACCGCAGAAGATTACGGAGACTTCAGGTTAAGCAATGCTTCACCGTTTCGGCCCGTGGATGTCTTTGCAGTTGCGCTCTTCCTTCCTTCCCCGCTGATCGTCTATCTTCGGAGGAAGCTTACAAACTATTCGACCGCGTCACCCCCAATGGGGTGATTAATCACAAAACAACAGTGCCCCCAACAGGCTAGCCGTGCTCTCTGTGACCGCATGCGCCACGCAAGCATTGTTCTTCATTGCGTACGAATACATGGCTCTATTATAAGCTGCCAGGGATACGATGTCGCTTTCCGACGCGCCCTTCAATCAGAAAACGAAAGCAAAAATGATCTCAACGAACGTCCTGACAAGCCCGTCCGAATCCGGATTCTTGCTCCAAGTTCCGATTCTTTGATTGGAAGTTGATGCGATCCCAAAATTCACCTTGCAGCATCCTGCCGCACCTCCTTCGTGATCCATGGTTCCCGAACTCGCAGAAGGTGGCTTAGCTTACCCGTCGTCAATTCAGGGGTATGATCGGTCGACGTTCACCAAGGGCGTCAGGATACCTACAATCTCTTGTTTCAAGAGCCTCTTTTATTTCCAATTTTGGTGATTGCATCGTTTTTCTGCCAACGAGGACACGCCTTCTGAGGGTAAAGGAAGGCTTGGATTTTGATATACTATTGATGCATGCGCGATAGAGGATGGTATCATTTCAATATCGTGTGAGCTTTCCATTGAAGTTCCGCGATACTACCCCTCTTGCATGAGAGCTCTCGACCCCTCCTCAGCCATCGGTTGCTGACGACTCATCCTTTTAACTCCACCTTGCTCGTCAGTAATTCTGTCTGCCTCGAGTGGTCCAACTCGTCAATTAGACGGTCCTCAACTCTGGGATCCCCGGCGCCTTTTAGCGGACTCCTCTTCTCGAAGTTCCCTAGTGCATACTACGGAGAAGATGTCTAGATACCCGGTCAGCATATAAGTGGGACGCACATTCTCGCAGCTCCGACACGCAATCGTTTCCGAATCTAACCCCTTGTCCGATTGGACGGTCTCTTTCTGGGCATCCAATCTTGCTTTCTTCAAGAAGTTTCTTTGCCTATTGGTCGGTTCGTATTCGTTTGGTTCTCGATCATCTCGGCGAACTCAGCTCATGCTGAATATCAGTTATCATTCCTTTCAGGACTGGGAACTGGCATTTTTGACCTCTCTTGAACGCGCTTGTCTTGTTGGTGTGACCACCTCCACCCTGTCCTGTGCAGCGAATATCTCGTTCCTTCCCAATTTACCCATCGTCATAAGTACCCCAGAGCATCGCTGTGGGACATTGTATCTTCCAACCTGAGGGGAGGAAATATGAATGGCCTTCCCCGCCTTCTCTCTGATGAGGCCATTGTTCTGCGCTCAACCTAACCCTGATGGCTAGGTTCAACAATTGGTCAGCTTGAAGCTCGAAAACCGGACGCAGACTTGATTCGTCCCTATCATGTAACTTGGATTCAGATGACGAATCCAGTAACGTTTCATTCACATAGGGAGGGACTCTTTCTCCCCATTTGAAGCTGAAGACAGCCCTCGTCCTCTTCCAGGATCGCAGAATGTCCCTCTCGGGAGTCGGAATCGACGAAATGCTTCTAATCAGCCCATCCAAGGACGTCCATCTGGGCCATGTTTGCTCACTCGCCATCAAGATCTCGCATAGATGGTTGCGTTTCCCTTCACTGGGTTCAATTTACCCTGGCCGAATTCACTATCTGTGTGTCGGCTTTTCAGCCATATCGGCAACCATTAAGGCCCTATTTCATGAATATCTAGACCGGAGATGCGTTCTCTTCTCTTCTTTAACGTTGGTATTTGTAATGACAATTCCCAGTATAACGGGGGGATTAAGAGGCTTATATAGGAAGATGTTGTATATTTTGGGATAATGATGGGAACTCGAATTATTCTTTATCGGATAACCCGCTAACATACAGCTAGGGGCTTATTATGTGCAACATATCCATGTCAAAGGATCTCTTTATCTTCTGGGAGAGCTCCCCTGCCTCTTTGTTGGTGGAGACAAATTTATCCCGAATAACACGGCGGTGGCTAGTAGGGCTGCAGCTGATAATGAAGTTATTGGAACCTATGAAGAAATATCTTGTGGCAGAAAGCGGTTCTATATAGACGAGACGATGAAAAACGAGGCATGCTTATAACAACGCAGTCACACGCAGAATGCAAAAACGAGCCACAGCTATGAAGAAAAGCAAAGGAGAAAAGAGAGTGGAAGTGCAGGGTCCTCCTATTACTCCACAAATCACCATCAGCGTAGGTTGAGTTGATTAAACGAACCAACCGGTGTATTTGGGCTGTGGATGGTGGGCCTCCTTGATCTCGCCCCAGGAAACTCACCAGGCCACCTACTATTCTCATTAGGGACAGACATACCCATGGCTGACATACCCACCGCAGACATTGGAGTCGTCGGCGTCCCATACTTGAACTTTCTGGAGCTGGGAGTCGCCGGCGTCGGGGCTATGGAACCTCTTCTGCACCGTTCTTGTGTCTTTGGAGGGCAGTAACTCAGGTAGAGCTCTATGAGCTCCCCCGTCGATTCAGGTGCTAGATATCCTTCCAGGA